GCACTTGACCTTTTTGGATATTTTATGCTCCAATCTAGTGTTCATAATTCAGAAACTCTTATTATGTTTTGTTCGCTTGAGAAATATTACCAATTCTTGGAAGTATAGTTATCCATTTCAAGCCTGAATTTGTTTTATGTTAGTTCAGGTGGAGGACTGCAAGATCACTTGAGCATCTTATTAAGTTTATGAAAGTCGTCAGGAGTAGCCATGTTAGATTTAGATCACTTACAATCTTGAAAGGAACGTAGAACACGCACCTCACAGTGAAAATTGTAGTAACGAGTGAATTTTGTAATGATAGTAGTTTCTATAAGAGTGTATTGTACTGCTAACTTGCCAAGTACTTTGGTTAAATTTGAGGACATTAGGTTGATAGGATTCAAGCCAGATGAATGGTTAGGACCAAGTTGATTCCCTGATAGCCAATTAACAAAGAAAACTGTAAAAGCATTATGTTCAGCTGGCCTCCAATATTTGTCCGAATTAAAATCTTGGTAACTTTTCAGGAATATCTTGAATGACATGTTGAATCTTGGATTGCGAAGCCCATTATGATTACTCCTTTCTAGCATCTAGAATTCGACTTGCCTTCTTTTAGCCACTGTTCTCACAAGTTGAAATATGGTACTGACCCCAGCCAGGTCTTCTTTTCAACTGAAAAAGTCCCTAATATTATGCTAATCCTTCAACTCTCTCCATACTTGGTATTTTTTTCATTCACAGGTCAGTAGTTATAATATATCGTAAGAGAATTTGCAGTCTTCCAAGGAAAAAACTTAGTTCAGAATATTAGTTGTTGTGTACCAAAATTAAAATCCACTATTGGTTTCAATGGATTTCTAAGTTAGGTGAATACACAATATTGCAGATCATTTTCACGAAACTATTTCTGGGTGATCAAGTGGGTTTGACTCGATAGAGATTTTTGGGTGTATTACTCAAGAGGTCCTGAGTTCGAGGCCATTTTCGGGGCTATAAGGTAGCTATTGGAGCTCCTACTTATAGGGTAGTTCCAAGGTCTTGGGGATTAGTTGAGATGCTCGTAAGCTGATCCAAATACCCTTGGTCATAAAAAAAAAAAAAAAAAAAAAAAAAATCATTGATGATAAATGATTAAAGTGTTACTAGTTGTTCCCTTTCTGCTTTGTATTTTGAAAGTGTTTTCTTTATCTAACAATTCAATATTTTCTGCTATGATTAAAGGTTAATTGACACATAAAATACCCGTGTGGACGCTTAATATCTTACAACTTTAATCACCTATCATATTTCACTTATTGCTTAGGGAATCAATTAACCTTTTCTCTTTCGGCATTAAGAACAATCTTGCATGAATGTTTCAGAATAGACCTTATACAGCAGCCTGGTACATGGCCACTAATTTTTGCTTCGTTTTTCTACATATTTTATTGCATTATATACCATTCCTTCATTCTCTTAGTATTCTTTTCACTAAAAATAATTTATCTCACAACATTTGAACCATTAAAGATGCATGGCAAAGTGGAAGAATGTCTTAGCTACTGTTTTAAACTTTGCTGAGCGGGTCAGTTTGCCGTCAATTTATAATATTGGTTTTTCTGAAGATCTTGTTAGTGCTCTCTCTCAATTAAAATATAACAAGCATAGACATTTAATGGGGTCTGTTTCTGCAGAAATTAATGAAATGGTGTATTCGTATTGTGCCTGTCGGCTCAATCTGAAGTGGGGAGACGGGGGAAACGTTTGCTTAGTAATAGCTCGGCTGAGTTTCTGGCTTTTGAGTGGTTGAATTCTTCATAAGCTTTGACCCCCACTGCCAAACTGTGAAATTAAATCTGTAACTATCACTATATGTCCTAAAGTTAACTGCATGGCGACTCAAAGTCTTGATGCATCACTGTATTTGACCCCTAGGGACTTCTGATTGAATTTTCAACTAGTAAAATGATTTCTAGTCAAAGTCCTGGCATTGATTATTCATTCATTTGAACAACTGGGGTGACTAAAAGACAAGGATATCCAAATCAGCTATATAAGCACTGAGTTAGGGTCTGGTTTCATTGTTCCTTTCAAAGCAATGATTTATATTAACTGGACCGCTTGTGGTGTGGCTTAATAAAATTGCTCTTTTTGATATTGACCAGTGATTGATCGAAAAAAGGGAAGAAAAAAGAAAAGAACCTTTTTTTGCGCTCAGTTTGAATCTGATCTGCAACACTTGTGATACAAGGATATGAACCGCTATTTATGGTAAACTTGGCCTTTCCTTGTTCAGTTGTATTGTGATGCTTTTTTTTTTCCTTTTTTTTGTATTCGGGGGATAGCGCCTGGGGTTTGAAGTTGCTAGGTAGCTTCCAATAACTATCCTTTTTATGTCGTCGGGTTCGACTGTCTCATAGTTACACCCCGAGTCATCCCCCTGCTGACCTCTGGTCTTGGTTTATTTTTCCACTGTTCACAGTTTCAGTACATAATACATGTTGTCAGAGTAATGTGAGCAAGCTTAATTAGTTCATTCAAGTGTCAGCATCTCTTATTGGCTTCAATTAGTGAATAAATTATATCCCTAAATTTTTCTGTTCTAAAACCGTGAACTTTGTGGGATAGGTTTAGTGGCAAATCTAAGTTTTTGTTTGGGTTAGTTACTATTTTCACTTATTAGCAGATGATCAATCTTTGTCTAGTTAGTGGTGGTTTCCACTTACTTTTTCAAATAAGATTTAAATCAAATAATTGAATGGGTTTAAGTAGAAGGGTTATGTCACAAAATCACCTATCTAGCTGTGTGATCTTATTTTAAGAGCAAAGACTTAATTTGATGTCCAAAAAAGATCCTGAATAACGATAAACAAATGTCACTATACAATTTCTTTATTAAAGTTAAGTCACTAGACTTAAGTGACCCAGCAAAAAAGTTGTAACTTAATGACAAAAGTAGAGCAAGACAGAGAGAGGGAACACACATTTAGATTCAAGTGAGGAGAGTGAGTGTTGGTGCACTGCCTGGTGGGTCTGCTATCAATATCAAACATTATTTAGAAAGGGAGAGTCAGTGGGGTCTCATGTCTTTTAATTCTTCTTCTTGCTCAATGCATGTACAAACTTACTATAATATAGTACGCTCAGAATTCAGCTGTACAGGAGGTGTTTGTTTGCACTGTATTATCCTCACATTTTCTGTTAGCTGGTTTTGGCATTTATAACATTCCAAATATCCCCAGTGAGAGAGAGAGAGTGCAAGATCGGTGACATTGCTTCATATCTCTTTTTTTTTTTTTTTTTTTAATATATTATAATATATATATTTTGGGTGGGTATTTGGGAATGTTAAAGTGTTTGTAGCCACTGCAAAAGGAAAGGAAAAGTGTGGCTTGCTGTGTGAGGTACCCTAAGCTTTAAGAGAGAAAAGAGTGCCTTTTAAAAAGGAATGATTCTTCGGCCTTTTTATGGAGCCTATTAGAATTGAAGTTAAAACAACTATTTAGTGCACTTTTTAAGATTATACACACAGCTGTTATCTTATCACAGTATATGTTAAGGCTCTTGTGGAGACAAGTAGGCTGATTCTATGCTTAGTTTGAGGTTGAAGTTGTTTAAGAATCAATCTAAAATTAGTTTCCTGGTAGAGCTTCGGATGTATAATAGTTTGACTGACTTTGACGTGAATGAGGACGCTGTGAATTTGTACCTAATTGTAAAGATTCCTAGGACAATGAAGTCGGCCACGTGGTCGATACTCGATAAAGACTTTTGAATGTGTTACTCAAAAGGTCCTGAGTTTAAATCATTCATCGAATAGTAATTGGGATAGCCATGGAGTTCTTATCGTTAGTAAATTCTAGGTTGTAAAAGATTAATTAAGATGCGCGAAAATTGACATGAACCCCTTGGTTAAAAACCAAAAAAAAAAAAAAAAAGGTTTAATTTATATGAATTAAGTAGCACAAATAAAATAGTTTTATATGGGGATAAGCCAGAAGACATGGTGGGGTTAGGGGTTGTCAACTATTTTGGAGGCTTTGTAATGTCTTATTCTTCTCTTTGAGGACATTAGCAGAGCTTAAGATAAAGTAGGTCTGTACAAAATGGTTCAAAAGAGTAATGACTCGGCTCCTACGTTCAAACACACCAAGAAGTGGTAAGAAAGAACAATTATTTCCTACTCATTTGGGTTATCCCCTTGGCGCATTTCTTCATCAAGATTATTGGTCAACTCTTCTTTAATTATGATCGATATCTTTCTTTCTTTGACTCCTTTTTGAATCTACCTGTTGCTTGGCAATAGCAGATAAATTTCGTTAATCAAAATCAAGGTGGGAAATAGAAAGAGTTAAAGGAGGAGTAATTAGAGCAAGAAATGGAGCCAAAGGGAAGAACAGACAGAGATGACAAGACAGCAATAAAAGGGGCGGTGTGAATAGAAGCAGCTATTGACACTAAAATGCAAACTCACAATCCTTTTCTCTCATGCATGTTCAATCAAACGGGAAATAAGTGGTTTTGTTAGGTAGCTAAAATGGGACCCAAACTTCCTCATCTGAATGTGCATATGCATAAGATTAAGATATCCTTCAAAAGAAATGAGATTGTGTTAGGTTTAGAGGGATTAGTTAAGATAAGGGTTCCACATACCATTTTTTTTCTTTCTTTAATCTATTGTTTTCAAGAGGGCCCATAAACGTTAGGATCCCTCCGTGCCCGCGGCTCAAATTATGTCTCTATCAACTGCTAATCCTATCTAAGATACCGTTATTATTTACATTTGATCATTGATACTAATATTAATTATAATAATAACCATCTGATCAAACTTTACTTTTATTTTCATCATGAAAGAGTAAGGCACATTAGGCAATCGGTCGGAAGAAAAACATTTTGAACGCCAAGTCAACGGCAAATCTGAAGGGTCCACTTTTCACGTGCACCTAGGTACAAGACAACACTGCTATTATTACTTCCTGTAAGAATTCCACCCCAGTTCCGAGCTTCCCGTTTGAAGCTACTACACTCACTCTAGCTCCCTTAATTTACAAGTAAACCATCTTCAGAAGGCTGTATGTAGATTTAATCTTGTATTTTTATAGTATTAGAATCTGAAAAGAATTTTTTTAGAGGTAAAAGATTGCCAAAGTTGAATTCAAATTTTGGGAAAATATGAATAGAAATATAAAATATGTATAGATAGAATGATGGATAGAGAGGAAGAGAGTGAGGGAGGCAGCTTTTACTTTATGGAGTTGGGTGCTTTTGGATTGTTTAATGGAACTGTCTTTTGACTGTGGAGACAATGTGAGTGTATTATAGGATCAATAAAGCAGAAGCCAACTGAGTAAAAGGAAACCAAATATGTGAAATAATTCATTCTCACAAGAAAGATCTTACTGGGAGCTAGCAATTACATCACCAATCTCAAGTCTATCCCTCGAGATCCTCACCTTTCTGTAATAATTATTTAGACCAAAAAATGAAGATGGAATTTTAAGGCTTTACTTTAAGTAAATGAATGGCCAACCTTAAGGAATGTTGGATTCTCAAGAGTCTACTGTTAAATGCATAGAAAACCTTAGCCAAATCCAATGCATTCTCTGATCTTCCTCTTAAAAACTGACATCAAAACTATTAACTACCAGACCCACATGGTCATTTTGATCAAGTTTTACCATTTTTAAAATATCAAGGTGCTTAACAGTTAAGACTTCACTTGCTTTTTCATTTGAAAACTTTGGAATAGTATAGAATAGAAAATTCTCAAATACTTTTTTTTTTTTTTTTTAATTTATAAAATAATGCATGATTGAAGGAATTTTCTTTTCCAATCATCTTTTGATATTATCTAGATTTGGTAATGTGGCTTGGCTTTTATATATTCTTTTTCCTTACTTTGTTCAACCAGTGGCAGGCATGTTTTAGTTCTCTTTAGCTTTTACTACCAAAACCCTCTGGTTTCTTGACTCTTGGGTCTGACACAAAGTTGTGAGAAAGTGAATTCATTTCAAGGTAGGCATGAGAAATTCTACTGCTTGCCTTGTGATGTAAACATTACTTTAAACAATATAAACAAAAACACAGTTAAAAACTTTGTTCTGTTGAATCTTTCATAACACTCGGTCACTCCCACCTGCTTCTCAAGTGCTTTCTACGTCAAAGGAAGCTAATTTTAGTTTCTTGTTTCCTTTGTTTTGATACTCAATTCAATGGAAACAATGAGAAGAAAAGATGCTACTTTGTGTTTTCTAGCTCTTTTAAGCTTATGGACTTCTGCATGCGGATTGCTATCACCTAAAGGAGTTAACTATGAAGGTATTTGAAATTTAAAAACTATGATTTATTTATTTATTTCTTTAATAATAAGAACTTAGAATAATATTTTTAGTTTCCTTGATTTTGTTTCAGTCCAAGCTTTGATGGGCATTAAAAGTCTACTGATTGATCCTCATGACGTTCTAAGCAACTGGGATGAAAACTCTGTTGATCCATGCAGCTGGGCTTTGGTTACTTGTTATGATGGTTTGGTTACTAGCCTGTAAGTACTGCTGAAAAACAACAGAGGGATACCATAAAACTTAAGCTTCTTATACCTTAATAAGATGAAAACGTTAAAATGGTTTTTTTTTTTTTTTGGGTGCAGAGGAGCTCCAAGCCAGAACTTTTCTGGCACTCTTGCGCCAAGTATAGGGAACTTGACAAATCTCCAGCTTCTGTAAGTATGAAATTGTAGCTAAAGTTAAAATATGAAATGGTTTAAACGTTTCGTAATATTGAGTTAGATGAGGACTTGTTGCAGGCTCCTACAGAATAACAACATAGCAGGACATATTCCTTCTGAGATTGGGCGGCTCTCAAACCTTAAAACACTTGATCTTTCCAGCAACAACTTCATTGGTTCAATTCCCAGTACTGTATCCAATTTGAAAAGCCTACAATACCTGTAAGTGAACTTCAAATATTGCTATGCCAGTAAAAATATTTATTAAAGGTCATTTTTTGAAATTGTTTTTCATGCCTCACTTTGCTAATGGGATTTTTAAATTTGAATCAGGAGAATGAATAATAACAGTCTTTCTGGAACAATTCCTCCCTCTTTGACAAACATGTCCCAGCTCGCCTTTCTGTAATTCTCTTCATACTTTATCCCGTCATTATAATTATATTTCTCTTTCCATTTTGATATTTATGTTTGAACAAGGTTAATGATGTGTATATATATATTTTTTTTAATGTAATAGGGATCTGTCTTTTAATAATTTAAGTGGTCCTGTACCCCACTTCCATGCGAAAACATTCAAGTAAGTTCCTCCTGGATTTTGTTTTAATTCTACTAATAATTTGTGTTCATTATTCACTGATTTACACCTTTTATTGATTGATACAGCATTGTAGGAAACTCTCAGATATGTGCCACTGGAACTGAGCAAGACTGCTTTGGAACTGCACCAATACCCATGTCTATTGCCTTGAATAATACGCAAAGTAAATATACTTCCCGGCTGCTTGCAAGTTTCTTTATTACTTCAAAATTTAAAGTTTTTGTTATACAAAAAGTTGTGTTGCTTGTTTTTTACTTACAATTATCTCCATTTGAATTTTGACTTTAATTCACAGCTCACAATGAAGTTGAACCGTTTTTTGATTATATGCCATCACTTTTTTTATTCTGTCTGAAGCTCAAACTATTCTGACATGAATTTTCGATTTTTTTTAGACTCACAACCTTCTAAGGCGCCAAAGAGCCATAAAATTGCTCTGGCTTTTGGTTCAAGCTTGGGCTGCATCTGCCTACTGATTCTTGGATTTGGATTCCTTCTCTGGTGGAGGCAAAAGCATAACCAGCAAATATTTTTTGATGTTAACGGTTAGTGAAGCATAAATTGGTTTCGAAGCATCAAATAGTTGAGAGAAACAACTTTACTTATTCTCATAAAAACGCTCTTTTTAATGTTTCAGAACAACATCATGAAGAAGTTTGCCTAGGAAACTTGAAGAGATTTCACTTCAAAGAACTTCAGGTTGCTACAAACAATTTCAGCAGCAAGAACTTGGTTGGAAAAGGTGGCTTTGGAAATGTCTATAAAGGGTATCTCCAAGATGGAACTGTTGTGGCTGTAAAAAGGCTCAAAGATGGAAATGCCATAGGAGGCGAAATCCAATTTCAGACTGAAGTGGAGATGATCAGCTTGGCAGTTCATCGAAACCTCCTTCGACTCATTGGATTTTGTATGACAGCAACAGAACGGCTTTTGGTTTATCCCTACATGTCAAATGGGAGCGTTGCTTCACGTCTCAAAGGTAAAGCTCTCATCAATTTTCCCATTGTATTATGTTTTAGTACATGAAACATAACATTTGTACCTCTTTTGTAAATTTCTTCTTGCAGGCAAGCCAGCCTTGGACTGGAGTACCAGAAAAAGAATTGCTTTGGGAGCTGCAAGGGGTTTACTATACTTGCATGAACAATGTGATCCCAAGATTATTCACAGGGATGTGAAGGCTGCAAATATATTGCTTGATGATTACTGTGAGGCTGTAGTTGGAGACTTTGGGTTAGCAAAACTGTTGGATCACCAAGAATCACATGTGACTACTGCTGTGAGAGGAACTGTGGGACACATAGCCCCAGAGTATCTATCAACTGGCCAATCCTCTGAAAAAACTGATGTTTTTGGGTTTGGAATTCTTCTACTTGAATTGATATCTGGCCTAAGAGCTTTAGAATTTGGGAAGTCGGCGAATCAGAAAGGAGCTATGCTTGATTGGGTGAGCTGAACAAACATGTTTCACTTGTTTGAAATAGTGTTGGGTTATTTTTTTCAAGTCAATTATTCTGATTCAATTCATTTATGATTTTAACTGCAGGTGAAGAAAATTCACCAGGAAAACAAGCTAGAGATGCTAGTTGACAAGGACCTGAAAAATAACTACGATCGAATCGAGCTTGAAGAGATGGTTCAAGTAGCTCTCTTAAGTACACAATACCTTCCAATTTACAGACCAAAAATGTCTGAAGTGGTTCGAATGCTTGAAGGAGATGGACTTGCAGAGAAATGGGCAGCTTCTCAAAGAGCTGAAACAACAAGGTCTAGACCCAATGAGTTTTCTTCTTCAGAGAGATACTCTGATCTTACTGACGACTCTTCATTGCTGGTTAAAGCAATGGAGCTCTCTGGACCAAGGTGACATGACGATCCATAAAAGGAGATAAATAATAATATTAAAAAAAAAAAAAAAATAAGGGTGACAGAATCTGAGAACAAGAATGTATCAAAAATGAGTTTGTTGTATGGTAGCAATATACCGGGATCCAAAGCTGTGTCAAATATCTGATTGTACAGATTCGAATTAAAAAAACTGACATTTGAGTGTAATATTTTCTGTTTCTAGTGACGAATTTTTCGTTAAATGTTTTATAGTAACCGTTGTAATAATACTACGCTTGAAATAAATCTGTAAATATTATTGCACAAGAAGAGAGTAATTATCCATATAGGTCAGAATGTTTGTTGATGTGCACTTTGTTGTTGAGATGCCTAATGCTGCTCCGAAAACGTGAAGGTGAAGACCGACCGCCGTGGCAAAGAAAAAGTCTGCCACGGCAACTGGAGGTTGCCGCTCTCGCGTGCGTTGTGCGATGTAATCTATGATCTGTTTTTTGTGCGACCTGCACTGGGTGTTAGGCGATCAGAAACAACCGGACGTTTAGTTTTGTGGTTTTATCTTAGTAAGTTATTTTAATTAGTTATCTTATGTAAGTTGTTCAAAGTTATTTCTTTACATGTTTATAAAAGAGGATTAGAATTGTATTAAGTATGTAAGTGTGTATTCTGTATAGTGATATTTCCAATACAAAAGTATTTGTTTCTTTGCAAATTCTAATTTTGCTGTGTGTGAGTTAGTTCAAAAACCAACACACTTTAAGGGGCTTTGTTTCCCACTGCAAGGTTGTTACAAAAATTCTTTCTATACAAGCAATTACAAGTACAATTTGAAGGCATTCATCTTTCAGCAGTCAGTCAATCACAGCCCGAAAAAGGGAAAATTACTTCTCTAATACAGCTCAATGATCGATATGAGAATTAAAATACTTGTCTTCCTCACATTTTCCGGTTGTTCGTGACCAGATGACAGTGACACTTAGGATTTGATGTCAAAAATAAGGATTGTGGTTCAGGCATAATTCAAAAACAGAGTAACAATGAGGGGCAGGTTCTCTCTAATATTTTTACTTGATTACTCAAAACGTTGCCAATGAGATTTTAGCATGTTATATCAAGTATCCTTTTGAGCCTGTGATATAACAAGTTCTGCAATTCCAATATCTAAAAGGAAATTAACCCACACATAAGCTACTAACATCAAATTTCTCTTCATGAGAATTGGTGGTCAACGACTTGTTGGAAATCATTGAAACTTTCATTTCTATAAATTATGATAATGTTTTGAGCACACAAGGTTGTTATCCATCTAATTCCAAATTTCCACCAACAAATGAGACGTAGGGACAGATGAGAATAACTTAACATGAGGCACAATGCTTAACCTTGATCAAATACAATTTCTGCTTGAGCAGAAGCCCTTCGAAATCTCAGCAACTCAATCAACATGTTCAATTTCCTATCTGCAACAATTGCACAAGGGTTGATGCTCATTATCTCAAGCACCGGAGAACTCTTCAGCAAAAATTTGATTAGTTCCATCTCATGCGGCACACCAGATACATCAGTCATCTTCACAAGCTTAAGTTGTTTAAAAGTGCAATCTGAAGGGCATTCTTTCTCCCAGAAGTCCAAATCACGAGCTTCTATAGCAGCTAATGTATTTGAGGAACCCTTAAAAAAACAATGACAACACAGTTTTGCGCTATTATAAATACGTTAACATAAGATTTTAATGAACAATCTTCCCATAGCTCATAAAATTAAAATTTGCCTGTTCATCAAAACTTACTGAAATTTGAAGTTCTTTCAAGTTAGGCGAGTTTGTAATCAAACGAATAACAACCAGTATCTCTTTCATATCTTCAAAACTCACTTGACACAATTCAATTGTATGTAGACGGCTATATGTAATGGGAAGTCTCCCTGGGCCATTACCTATACTCAAATACTTTGGGGATAAAAAAAAGAAAGAAAATGGGTTCAGCTGTATGTCTCATTATGCTAAAAAACTTTACAATTATATATGATCATAGCAATTTCATCAAAGCAACAAAAGACACTAGCAGCATAATGTTACCTTTGTGAAGTAGATATATCCAACAAGCTTCTCAAGAAGAGGTACCCCACCAAGAAACTTGATAAAATTGCAACTTGAACTTTGCTCAAAGTGTTCAGCGATGTCATCGGTAATATACATAGCAACTGACAATGAAACTAAAAGTGGGGTATTTTCAAGACAGATGTCTTTGAACTCACCTTCTAAACACAAGTACTTGAGATTTGGAGCCCATATATTAAGGTCTAAACTGTCAAAGTATGACAATGACAGACTCTCTAGGAGTGGGCAACTAGAAATAAGACTTTCAATAGCCTCCCCGGCAACCAAAACTTGATGAAGATTAAGGCTCTTCAAACATGAAAATCCTTTAAAAGCCAGAGGAGGATCAAATTCACAACGGAAAAGCTCCAAACGAGTTAACTTTCTACAGTTAAAAAGACATGAAGGTACTCTAAACCATTCCTCTTCCCCTACTTCCAGAACCAATTCTCTAATGTCATTTCTTGAAAGGAAAAGTATCCACTGATCTATTTCGGGGCTGCACTGCAACCGTGTTGTACTAAGCTGGAACTTATGAATTGGTCCTTGGTGAAGGAAGAGAGCCCGAGTAATAAATTTTACCAGGCTATTTTCAGCTAGCGGTCGCTCATTAAACAAGGCAACGCAGTTTTCATCAAATACAAGATGAGTGATTGTAGCCCATCTATACCTCCATTTACTTGATAAAATGCTAGTTCTCACAGCATCCCTTATCGGCAGTCGAGTGAGAATGCTTTCTATGATGCTTTGAGGTAAATCACTTATGAAATCCGGCAGCTCAAGATCACCCATCTATGTTTCAATTACACCAACAAATCAAAACAAAAAGACACTTAAACCAACTGTACAAGCATAAAATCACATGCAATTTCAGACATTCTCTCCACACTAATAACTCAAAATTAAAAAAAAAAAATGAACAAAACCCTTGATGATTATCCCAAAAATCCATTTGTTTGCTAATTATATCTAATCCCATAATTGAAAAAATAATATCCGAAAGTTAAACCAAACCCCGCATTTATATTTCTTTTCCATTGTTTGGTTACTGAGAAACATGGGAAAGTAATCAAAATTTCAGAAAAGCGAAAAAACAAAAAAAGATTATCAGTTTTCTTGGGACCCAAAAACCATACATATATTTAATAATAAGTGATGAATAAAAAATTAGTAATGGTGGAAGAGATGTCGACTTACTCAGAGTTGTTTAGAGTTGTTTTTGCTTCTGTTTGTTCTTCACCAACGTAGAGATCCAGTGTCTGACCAAAAGGGCAAAAAAGGTTAACTGGAGATCCGGTACTTCATGGATCTCCACTCGGTTGCTCTATGGCTGCTCTCGATCACGTGTAATTTATTTTCGGTAGACTGTACCAGAATCCCGAACAATAAAATATTATATTAAAATTTTGAAAAATAGGAGTTAGTAACCTCACCTCGACGTAATTTAACTCTCCCCAGATCTTAAGTTTGCATTTAAAAAAATTGACCCTAAAAATATTTTTGAATTTTTTTTATTTAGAAAAACTGACGTAACATACTTAAGATTTATTAAACATATAAAACTAAAAAGAGTTAAACATATGTAGGTAAAATCATAATTAATGGAAGTTTGTTTAAATTTTGAAATTTGAAAACGAGCCCCCACCCTTCAAAATCGCTTAATTGAGCTATATACCCAAAAAACGACTGACTAACACATTTCATTTCTCTGTGATTTCTGATGACTACAGTGCCTTAATTCTGGTAAATATTCTATCCTAAAGCTTCCTTACACAAAACTATGGCTGACATTCACAAAGAGAGGGAAAACTCAACCCCACTCCGAATCCTAGACTCCGACGACGCCAACAGTTCAAAGGTTGTTGAAAAAGACGCTCTGGTGGATCATCTGATAAATGAAGGTGGTCCAGAGGCAGAGGAAACGACGGCGGCACAAGCACAGAGAAAAGAATTGGAAAATGGTTCTAAAGAGGAGGATGCCGACGAGAATTCAAGCGAGGAGGAGGACGCCGATGAAGAAAGGGTACGTTTTTTACTTCTTCTTTTTTTATTGGATGAGAAAATTGATTGATTTGTGAGAATTTGAGGGAGATGTAGTTGGTTTTATTGTTATAGTGGTTGTGGCGTTTTGTCGAGCAGTTGGCGGGCATTGGTGGAATGACTTTGTTTGGGTTCCAAAGGATAGGGGAAGGCAAGGGAGGTCGTAGGGAGGTTGTTTGTGGGAGGTTGGTCGGTTGGGGATGGCAGGAGGTGACAGAATAAGGGGGCTGGAGGGCTGCCCTGCATATTGGCAAGGCTGGCCACGTATAGCGCCCTGCAATATGCAAGGCAACCCTCCAACCCTCATATTCTGCCACCTTCTGCCATCCTCAGCCCTCCAATCTCATGGAGCCTACCACAACAGCCTCTATAGGGCTTGCATTTGCTTCCCCGATCCTCTCGAGACAAAAAACACTCACTCCCCGATGCCCTCGAAGCCTATATCCCCTAAATTGGCAACCTATTAGTCCCTTTTTTTTTGGTTATTTAGCTTATATCGATTGTGCAGATTTTCCAAAGCATAAATTATAAAGACTATGGGTTGGAGGTTGTAAGCAATAAGGTATCGTACTTCCCCTTAAGGGTGACAGTTAGGTGGAGTTGGCAAGTTTTTATGAGAATAATAGATATTTTACGGGAACAGATGAAGGGTTTAGACCGATTCAAAGAGAGTTGTTTAAGTCATTTTAAAAACATCGGAGAAAATTGGAAAAAAGGCGTTCTGGGGGCAAAGAGTGCATTATATGTTGCTGCACTTAGTTAAAAGTCAAAAAAAAAAAAAAAAAAAATGGTTCATGGTGGATGGAAAGCCACTACATTTTGGGACAATGGAATATGTCTTGATGATAGGCTTAAGATGTGGGGAATTTCCAGATGTGGAAGAGTAAGAGAGAATAAAGAAAAGTAGGGCAACCGATAACTTGGCTAAGAAGGTTTTGGGGGGGAAGACG